GGGGGGGGGGGGGGTTCTGTGGCCAAGGAGCAAGGTTCTGTCTCCCCAGACCCCATGCGAGCAGGAGTGTTGTGACCCTGCAGGGTCCCGCTGAGGGACAATGAACCGCGCCGTCCCTGTCGCAGGGCCGCAGGCTCGGCTGCTGGCTGTCACCGCCTCACTCCTGGGCGGCTTTCCCTCCGCACCCCTGACTCTCGTGGGGTGGGGTCTCTTAGGTAGCGCGTTTCATCTCGGCAACTTCACTACTGACTATCAAGGTGCTGAAGGAGACCGCTCTCATGCGATGACCGCAAACGTGGTGTAAAAGGCCGGGTCCTACCTGTAAGCTCTTGGACAGGCAAGCGATTAGAGTTCCTCCCCCTTTTCAGTCGTGAGAATGAGACCTGGGGGGGTGTAAACTCAACACTGAGAAAAAGCAAACTTCCCGATGAAGCCAACGATGCCTCTGGGGAGGTGGCGGCTTCCAGGAGCCCAGCGCCAGCGACCGAGGTCCTGGGATGCCCGGGGCTGGGGGTTGGGGGGCAGGCAGGGGGCAGGGAGAGGCCGCAGGCAGCTCACTGGGCTGCTTGCCAGGGTGACCAGCACCGGGACGCCTAATGGGATAGTCCTTGGGGCTCTCAGCTTCTTTCACAGCCCAGGAGACTCTGACCCCAGAGGGAGAAGCCGGGCCCTGCAGGCCGCTGCCCTCTCGCCCGGCAGGCGCCAGGATGCCCCACCCGGCTCTGGCACATGCGGGAGGCCTGAGAGCAGGGGGGGCTCAGTGGGCTCCCAGCCGCCCTAAGGCAGGCAGTGTTGACTCTCGTCGCTCCCTGGAAAATCACAGCTTTGCTTGGTGGTGTCCAGTCTGAAGATCATCAGTCACTACGCACAAACATAGAGCTGAGAGTAAAGTCTGATTCCTGGGGAGCAGGACTTCAGATGCCGAGGTCCTTGAGAAAGAAGCAAATCGGGGTGCTCTCAGGACCCCCGGGCCCCCAGGTCTCCCTGACTACCCCTGGTGCTGTGAGGCTCCCTGGGAAGGGCTGAGCCTCTCAGAGCCCAGAGCCTCCGATTGGGGTTTAGCCCCATCTATAAAAGGGCAGGTTCCAGCAAACGAGGCAGCCTGACCGAACTGTCATCCCCAAGGGGGACCGTGGCTTACTCCCAGCCTCAGGGCACACGCCCCAGCACCCATCCCTCTAGTTGCAGCTCCTGGTGGATGGGGCTGCAGCTGGAAGAGATTATGCTTTGGGGCCCAATCTTGTAAACGTGATTATAACTCTGAGGAGAGATTTCCCAAGAATGGGAGGGTCTGGGAAGGAGACTGATGATTGATTTCCTCTGCCCTGGCTCTGGATTTCCCCCAGGCGTGGGCCCCCCGCAGGTCCTCCAGGCTTCCTGATGTCCCAGCTGCTCCTCGAGGCCACCGGGGTCCTCCCTCCACACCCAGGAAAGGACATTCAAACACTCGGGTAGAAAAGCCAAACAATCACATCTGAACTTTGCCCTGGTCTCAGGGACAGTAAACAGACTATGACAGAGAGCCTGTGGGTGTACACTGTGATTTATAAATGTGTACCTAGGGAGAGCCTCGCCTTCTGCTCCCATCCGGCGGAGACACAAGCCCTGGGAGGGGGTGGACAGCCAGGCCCGCACTCTGACGCCCTGCAGGTTCTGCCTGAATCTCTCTCTCCTGCCCTGGACTGAGCCAGAAAACGTGGGTACTGGGTTCCAAAGGGAAGGACAATATGCCCTGTACCCCATTCCCGGAACTTAACCCTCCTGAGCTCAGCAATGAGCATTCCGGGTTCTGCACCCATGGTGCGTGTGGACAGGAGGCCAAGCACAGGTGACTCAGCAGCCCCACCTGCCCCGCCCTGTTCTCACCTGAGTCACTGTCATCCCTCCTGGTAGTCAACACTCCTCTGAAGCCTCCTGTTTCGGAGGCAAGGAAAAATATATTATTTATACATATTCGTATCTTTAGAACATAGCCAGCAGAGTCAGACCCAGCCGGCAGCTCCCTTCTGTAAATAGTTGCGTTGGAACACGGTCCTGCCTTCTCCTTGTGTATGTGTGCACGCGGGGGTGGGTGTGCAGGTGTGTGAGTGTGTGTGTGCATGCATGCACGTGTGTGTGCGACTGCTTCCACAGTCCAGTGGAGAGCTGAAAGGTTGCAACGGGATCCCAAGACCTGCAAAGCCAAAAGTATCCCCTCTCTGGTCCTTCACACAAATTTGCTGTCTCCAAAACAGCTGGTTGGAAAAAAGTATTAAAACAAATAAAATTCAGTAGGGTGGCCATATGCAAACACAGTCAATAGCATCCCTACATACCACCAACCGTTAATTAGACAGCGTCATGAAACGAGTCCTATTTAAAACAGCAACTGGAACGACAAGCAGCTGGGTGCGAGCTTAACGCGCAAGAGCGGCTGAGAAGAAACTCTGTAAGCCGCTACTTAGGCATAAAGAAGGCTCGAGATGACACGGACGTGAGGCCTGAACCTTGTAAAAATACCACATTGTATGCGGGAAACGTATTTATACGTTTTACGTTGACTGGTAGCAGAGCGCGCGATAAAAACTACCGGCAAACAACGTGATACCAGTCCTCCCCTAATTAGGACGCAGTCAACGCACTTCAAATGCAAATGTCGAATCGCTATTTTAGGACGCGGAGGTTTTCCAACGTGGAGTGCAGGAAATGCACAGCGGTGGTCAAGGACATTTGGAAACAACCAAGCAGGGATGTCGATGGTACAAAAACGCACTTCACAAAACTGCAGCAATCATTAAGCTGCACCGCACCAGTGCAGCCCCAGGGCACCACTAGTGGGAAAACCCGGGAAGCGTGGAAGCCGACTCAGGTGCGCGTGGAGACGGGGCGAATGGTGGCGGCAGTGCTCGCAGGTAGTGGGGGGTGAGGGGCTCCCAGTGAGTGCCTTTGGAGAAAAATCCCATCCCTTGGAAAACTGCTTGGAGCTCTACGTCACGCCCCAAAACAGATTCCAGGTACACGAAAGATCTCAACGTAAAAACCAAAGTCCTCAGAGCATTGGGTAAAGTGGACGGGTGGGAATAGCTCTGCATCTTAGGAGGGGAGGGTTATGCTAACACGTAACAAAATTCCAAAGGCTCAAAAGAAAAGATTGGCAATGTGGTCACCGAAAAGAAATTGGTTTAGATTATAAAGAAAAAATAACTAAACGGTAATGAAAAGTCCGAATTCATATGAGAAGAAAACCTCTTGAGGTACGTGAAGGATTAATGTCCTAAAATAGGAAGAATTGTGTTGGGTCCATAAAAGAAGTTAAACACCTTATAAGTGTTATAAGTGGACAAATGGTGGAAAAATACAAATGACTAATAATAACACATGTTCAGCCTCACTCACAATCAAGAAAAGGCCCATGAAACAAAATGTTCACCCCTTCCCACCACACATTTCAGTGGGACCAGAAAGAGTTATAAACTTTTGGGACAACAATAGCAATTTTGAACATGAGTATCCTTTGACATGACAATTTCCCTTGTGCAAATAACCTACTAAAATGTTATTGACTGAACATGTCTCCCCCTAAGTTATATGTTGAAGCCCGAACCCCCAATGCGATGGCCGTAGGAGGTAGGGCCTTTGGAAGGTAATTAGGGTTAGATGAGGTCCTGGCG